CGACCCAATAAACAAGAGTCTAACAGACAGATAGGCAAAGAGGCGGACGCTTATAGAAAACAGAGATTGAGAGAAGAGTTGCTTAAAGGTCTGGAGGATCAGGAGAGACGGCGTCAGGAACTCATGGATTTGGACACAAAACAGAGGCTTATGATAGCGGAGGCCAGACGTCGACAGGAAGTGCTCGACAAACTAGAGGCCAAACGTCTGGCCAATGAACACAAGTCCATAACTAGTTCCCCTCAGCCAACACCACCCACCGACACAATAGTACCCGTAGCCGATAGCACCGGCAGTTCTGACGGTAAACGTTATACCGCACAGCAATGGCCACAAAGTATTTTAATACGGAATCAATTGGTCGATACCGATAGGGAAAGTAGCAGTGGAAAGGGTGGACCGGTAGATGTCCCCCACAGCATACGTACGATACCTGTTAGCAATCCTACACAACCTGCACCGGCATATCAAACTCCAACTTATCGTAATTCGGCCAATGATTATAATATGCAATATTACCCCGAATCGCAACCCACCACCCGATCCCCACAACCGGCCACTCAAAAGTCTTCGTCCGGTCGTATAGTGATATCAGCGGATGCTTTAGCTCAGGCAGAGAAAGTGGACGCGGAATATATAAAAAGGCTTATGGAAATACTTAATCACACTCAACCAACCGGTGCTGTGTCTACATCACGAGCAGCACCCGTGGCATCGGCCACACAACCACAAACTGTAGATCATAGTAGTGACAACTGGTGGCTAAGAAGTCCAGGCACCAAGTAGTAGTGGACAATCATTGTAAATCGATACATTTAATAAATTGATACAATAAAATCTGGTTTAAATTTAAATTTTAATAAATTTTATGAGTTGTATAATTTCTAACCTCTTGTTAAAAGTTTAAAGTTGTACACAAAACTCAAAACATTTCGGTTTAATTACAATACAATTAATGTTAGAAATTAATATTGGTTGTTTTCTCTGTCAATAGATGGTAGAGCAGCATGGTGATAGTTTTTATCATTAAGTTTAACTTAAAAGATATTAAATTGAATGAAATATATTTGATTTGTAAAGATTATTTGATTTGGTATTTTATTGGACTTATTGTTAGAAATATTGACTAGAATGCAAAGTATGCTACGTTTATATAAAATGTTTAGGTTTTTAAAAAATGTTGTAAATATTGTAATACATTTTCTCAAATGGATGCAATCATTTAAAATTCAATAGAATAGGATTTTGCATAATTAATGAATTCTAATGGCAATGTTTATATTGTATATTTGAGTTATTTAATAAAATTTAAATGACAATATCTGACAATAAAAACAAGTTATAAATTAAACTATTTGTTCACATGTAAACTGTATTACATGTAAATTGTATAATGTAGCAATTTTAATGATATTTTAATTATTATGCAAAGGAATTGAAGAATAATTGATATTCTGATCAGTCTAATGGATAAATATTTAATCAACTTAATGATTTATTTCCAAATAAACCTACATTAAAAACATTTTAAATATAAATTCGAATGTTTCACTGTAAATTTACTAGGCAAAAACCTATTCATTACAATGTTAAATCGTAATATTTAATTTTCAGAAATTTAACTTTAAAATTTTAATATAATTTTTCAAATTAATATTAACTTAAATACAATTGCAAATTGATAACGAAACAATATTATGACGTAAAACATTGATCGTTTTATTATATTTCTATAAAAGTAATTATCTATTCAGATCCTTGCAAACTACACTAACACTGTACAGTACATACACTAACAGTTACTTCAATTTTTAATTGAGAGTCTTAAACAAATTTGTTTGATTTTAGTTTAGTTATAATTTTAATTAAAAACTAATAAAGTTACCAAGATAAATTGATTACAATGGAGGGAATTCAGTATCGTAGCAGCAACTTTGCCTGCAAGAAATGGACATTATTTACGCTAAGCCTTATATCAATGATAATAACAGGGTTTGTAATGATAGCCTTTATACTCATGTTTTCGGCCGTCGCACAAATGGGTGATAAACTGGACAAACAGTCGTGGGGTTCAATGACATCGGGGTCTCAATCGGGGTCCATCTCAATGTCAGGATCAGGTTCTTCAGGCAGTGAAGGTTCCACTTCTCTCATCAGTTTTGGAAACGATCACAATTCGGCAAAAGACAAACAAACTTCTGATGTTTCTCCCTCTGTAATTATACATTTTAACCAGCCTCATTTTATCCCACATGCAGTATATGATTTATGTTAAAAAAATTATAACAATTATTAATTTAACACTTAGATCGCTATTATGATTGTGGTTATTGTTTGCGCGCTGGTGTTGGCTATTCAATCAATCGGGGTGTTTGGCACTTATAAGGAACACTATTGTCTGTCTATGACATACGCTATATTATTAACGTTGGGAACTGTGAGTTCATTTGGTTCGTGCTTCAAAGATACAACCTACATCGGTTCGTTTGTATTTAATCTACTCGTAACTATTCTGGCCTTCTCGTTTGTCAATGATTTGCGTAAGCCGACCATGCTACAACAGCACCCCATGACCACCATTACCGTTCAAGCGCCCCAACCCGGTCATATGAATCCCACTTACTATGTTAATCAAGGATCTAGTTATCCTAACCATGGTGATTGGAAAGTTCCACCTGTTTAAATCTATTTTTGAATAAATTGTTTAAACAATTTATTGATAAAATAACGAATATTTTATAGAACCACATACAAGGTTTTATTAATAATTATATTTTATAAATTGTTTATTTTATCAGAATGTCCATTATAAAATTACAAGACAACGCTTATTTTATGTTTAAATAAAGTTAAATTTTCAACCATTGATAGTATTAACTTAATACAATTAATTTATTTTGGTAATTAAATATTCAGTTTCTAGTTTAACATAAACTATTTCAATATACAGTACAGTATTTCATTAAAGATTGAACGTGATGTGATACAGGTTTAAATGTGGCCTTTCTGCTTTATTGACCCCACAGGGTTTGCTGCTTAGACCATATTTTGGAGTTCATTATAAAATTACCATTAAATTTGTATTTAACAAACGTTCATGGTTGTATAAGCTGTGTTCAAATTGAATTTAAATGATTAAAATAAATAATAATAATAAATATTTGAAGTTTAAAAGGAGTGGAAATGCTTTCACAAATAATTCCGGGTTTCGATGGGAGGGAAACATTTGCTCTCAAGAGTTAGATAGGGATATGTATTGGGATGAAAACAAACCTATTATGTGGAGATGTAAACAACTAAATAAACATTGAATTGAATGAAAATTCTTAAAAATTTTGTGTTTACTTAACGGGTAATCAAAGTTTTAAAGAAGAAAGGAGAGAGAGAGAGAGAGAGATTAAAATCAACTAGTTATTAGTAGTGATCGTAAAATGCAATCTTCCTGTTTAATTATTTATGCTTTAGATTTTCAATTTCCAACAAAATAAGTTGGAATTAAATTTTATTTGTTTAACAGTTTAAATTTTAATTGATTTTAAGTGACCTAGATTGCCTAAGATTTTATGATTCCATCAAGTATAACTTATAATTATAATAAAAAATAAATAATTAATAAATATTTATTATAATTATTTGTAATAAGTAAACGTAATTGTATATTTATTTATTACAGAACAATAGAAATAAATATATAATTACGTTTGCATGACATACATGACTACACCTAAAATCATGGTTAGCTATAATGGCATAATTTATATATTTATTTTTGTGGCGTTTGTTTGACATGGTAATTTTATTTATATCCGCTAATATTATTATTTCCAGTTTAATTTTTTATTGTAGTACAACTTTTATAAATTATTGATAATAAATCTAGAATTACTTTGATTGTTATGTAGATTATAATTATCTAAAAATTTATTATAATCTAATTTCCTATAATAAGTTTAATTGTTTAAATGTTATTTTAATTTAAATTAAATTTATCGTAAATAATTTAGGGAGTGTTCAAACATCCGGTGCCTCCGGTAATCCAAATCATTTGACAAATATAAATCAGCACAACTATGTTAATCAGGCGCAACCCAATACTGCCGTTCAGTTTGTACCCTATACTTACAATCCCAGCTCTCCGGATATGACCGATAACTTAAGTGACAAATCCTCTAATATTGATATTATGATGGGCGCACCCGACGGACAAATACCTGGTGCTGTTAGCGGACAATTAGTTGAACATGAACCTTTTCTACAGACATATCTTAATTCCATGCAAGATCAAAATAAGGACAGACGCGTAATGGTAGAAGTAAACGGCGATGGGCAAACTATTTTAGATCAAATTAGACCCTTATTAAGGGACAAATCGATAATAGAGCGGCTCCGGGGGTCACATCTGGATACAGACGTCACGATTATCCGCAATGTTGACGAGAACGGCGTTCCGGTGCCCGTTTCCCGACCTGACCAACAAATGGATTACCAGCTCAGACACGAGCTGCCCCAACAACAGACTCGCCAACCGGTTCTAGACTATAGACAACCGCATCCCAGTTCACCGCCACCACAACAAAATCCAATTGGGATCAGTCAATATATTAACAATCAACATGATCAACAATTAGTAGCGCCAAAGGCAGCAACGAACCCACCACGAGCTGTTCTCGGCTCAAATGCTGTATTATTGGTCGAACAGAGAGGCGCCGGTAGTATTGGAGAACACAATCAACAACTAATGCTCAATAAATTACAGGATCTGGCGATGAGACCTCTTATTGAACAAGAAAAACACGCTTTGATTTCTCAGACAAAGCCGTACCCAATACAAGCTATTGATGCAACACCACCGACAGCCCCACCGACTTATGCCAATGGGGTCTCGCACTCGACCCCCACATACCAGGATAGACCCGTTGCCGATCAAAACAGCGCTCAACAGAGTTATATGAATCGCAACTACGGTTACAAACAAGTCCGACAATCAGCGGCACCTGTAGCTGGCGGTCAAGTGGGTTCAGGTGGACCTACGCTATCGCAACAGCATCTGTCCATTGGCAACAATGTGGCGGGTGTTCAATATGTGAGCGCCCGACCCAATAAACAAGAGTCTAACAGACAGATAGGCAAAGAGGCGGACGCTTATAGAAAACAGAGATTGAGAGAAGAGTTGCTTAAAGGTCTGGAGGATCAGGAGAGACGGCGTCAGGAACTCATGG